AGCATAATACTATATGCGCTATATTACGTAATATAATGTGTACATCAAACCATAATTCGTAATAGACCGACCTTTCACTACACCAGAGGTTGTGTTCACTTCAATACAAACTGTGTATTCAATGCTTATTAACGCAAATAATAATAAAAGAGTGTTTTTAATAGACATTTTATAAAACTACAAAAACGACTTTTTTAGTACTTAAAACTTATTTAGTTGAACTTAAATGATAACTACATTAATATTTAACAAATAATAAATTATTTTATCAATATTTATAGGTAATTAATAGAATTAGTGCAAAATAAGTAAACACTTAAACGTTGTATTAAAGATGTCTGATAAAAAGCACATTAAATATAACCCACATTAAAATTAGAAAATATAATTTTAGTGCACTAAAGTACTTAATATTATTGATTAAATAGGCAATATATCGTTATTTATAATAATCACTATGATAAACTATAGTGTTAAAATTTGGAACAATTAAAACATACATTCAAAGTAAAAGTATTTATTCATAATGTTTTAGCTTGGCAACAATGACCAAGGTGCTTTTAAGTGAAAGTCGGTCTATTACGAATTATGGTTTGATGTACACATTATATTACGTAATATAGCGCATATAGTATTATGCTCTAAATAGCATTATTATTATTGTATTGTGTGCTAGATTACTTTTATATTTTTAATCAGACAAATAGGTACACTATCTTATATTTTAATTTATTTCTAACAACTAAGTACACTGTCAATCAACTACAAAATAAGTTAGTTTACCTATTTTGTTCAACATATTATACTGACATCAAATTACACTACATGATTTAGTAATTAATAAAAAGTTTTATAAATAATTAGCAATGTAACAATTTATTAAATTTTATTATTTTAAATTTAATTGCAATAATTGTAAGCAATTTATTGATTGTTAAATTAATTATAATAGTGTTTCCAAAAGCCATCGCAAGTAGTATTGAATAAATTATTGAAATTATGCCAAAGTTTGTATGGATTGAGTTCTTTGGCTTTCGGCACATAATCTTTCACTTTATTGTCAATAAGTTTAGGCCAATCGACAGTTGGTTTACTAGAAATGTATTAAAACATTAATAATTAATTTTAATAAAATTGAAAAATTTAAACAAAAGTTCTCAAAATTCTTACCCATATTTAGCGAAATCGGTCCACATTTTCATGACATCCCGACTAAACTGTTTGTCTACTTCTGTATCGGTTTTTTGGGGATAAAGAAATGGTAGACCGAAAACAAACTGTATTTCGTCGCCATGAGTGACACCAAACATGTCTGGACCCGGTTTTGATGGCGTCCTATGATATGTCAGTTCATAGAAATATACATTACTTTCGGCCGACTGTTGGCCGTAATTGACGGCAAACTGATGTGTCGGACACGTAATCATAAGATCGCCGAAGAGGTCATACAATTGCCATTTGACTGCTTCGGGATCCGACTTATTGATGGACGACATGTAAAACGTGGTAATATTGTCGGCATTTAGGTTATGGAAGATTGAGTCAAATCCCAGCGCGTAATCGTGAAACTCCTTTTGGGTTATATTTTTAGGCACAACCGGAATGAGTGCCGACAATATAGACGACCCCTCGTGTTGGGCTACACCGGCCAACAGTTCCAGATCTAGGTAAATATAATTTAAATTAATGTAAATACTTATTTTAAATAAATGCAAACAAACCTTTGTTAAATTGTTTGGTCTGAAAGGCCTGGTGTGCGGACACCGGAAGGTATTCAGTGCCGAGTGTGGCGACAATAAAAGCCGCGCCAATTGGGGCATTATTTAGCTCTTCGGCGTCTAATTGTCTCAAACACTCTAACCATTCAATCGGTGTTTGACTACAATTGAAATGTTTGGCCAATTGTTTAGCTTCAGTTAACGCTTCCGGCGCTGTCGTTATATCCCTGTCTTTATTGAACATATGGGCGCCGCTCTCCATAATAGCCCTCTTGAATAGGCCTTTAGATAACGGAGACAATAGCTGTACGGATACGGACCAACTTCCGGCGCTCTCACCAAATATAGTGATCTGATCCCTATCTCCGCCAAACTTATGGATGTTTTCTCTAACCTATTATTATGTCATTAATTAAGATATTATTTAATTAATAAATAAAAATTACAATTAAAACAAATATTAAATGTATACCCATTTGAGAGCCAATAACTGGTCATAAAAGCCCATATTTCCGGGCGCGTCCTCCCGATCTCCGTATAGGAACCCAAACGGTCCTAACCTATAGTTGATGGACACAACCACCACATCATTAGTGGCCAGAGCTGTGCCGTTGTATATCTCTTGAAAAGATGAGCCCAATATGAGAGCTCCTCCGTGTATAAAAAACATGACCGGTTTGAGGGGGGCTTTCGGTACTGAATTCTTGTTCATATGTAGTGTCCATACGTTTAATACCAAACAGTCTTCACTTAATGTTAAATTGCCGACAAAATCCTTCATATAGTCGGGAACATTTTGGTAACACGAGTTTCCAGTCTCTGTGCCGTCTATTATCTCCTTTAAAGTAATAATTATGAGGTTTATTCAAATTGTGATTAAATTAATTTTTATTGTTATTTAAAATTTTCAATTAAATACTTGTATGGGATGTCTGAGTGGCACCGGTTTGGCAAACCTGAGTACCCCTACCGGGGGTTCGGCATAAGGTATGGCCAAAAACTGGTCAACACTTGTGTTCAACACATCGATAGTCAGACCTTTCACTACACCAGAGGTTGTGTTCACTTCAATACAAACCGTGTATTCAATGCTTATTAACGCAAATAATAATAAAATAGTGTTTTTAATATACATTTTATAAAATTACAAAAGTTACTCAAAATCAAAATTTGTTGTATAAATACTTAAATGATAACTACATTAATATTTAAGAAATAAAAATTATTTTATCAGTATTTATAGGTAATTGAAAGAATTATTGCAAAAATAATAAACACTTAAACATCGTATTATAGTTGTCTGATAATAAAATATAACTCACATTAAAATTAGAAAATATTTTTTAGTACGGTACACTAAAGTACTCATATGATTAAGTAGGCAATACACGTATATAATGTATATCGTTATTATCTAATATAAATATAATAATAATCACTATGATAAATTATAGTCTTAAAACTTGGAACAATTAAGACATACATTCAAAGTAAAGGTAAAGTTACCCCATCATGGAAGATCAGTTATGCAGAGTGAGCAGGGTCATTAAATATTAATAAATTCAATTCATAATGTTTTAGCTTGGCAACAATGACAAAGGTGCTTTTAAGTGAAAGTTGGAATTATGGTTTGATGTACACACTGTATTACGCAATAGAGCGCATACTGTATTATGCTCAAAATAGGATCATTATTATTGTATTGTATGATAACAAGTAAGAACAAGTACACTATGAATCAATTACAAAATAAGTTAGTTTACCTACAGTATTTGTTTAGCATATTATACTTACATGTAGCAAATTACACTACATGATTTAACAATTAATAAATAGTTTAATAAATAATAATGTAACAATTAATTAAATTTTATTATGTCTATTTATTTATTTGAAATAATTATAAGCATTCTATTGATCATTGAATTAATTATAATAGTGTTTCCAAAAACCATCGCAAGTTGTATTGAATAAATTATTGAAATTATGCCAAAGTTTGTATGGATTGAGTTCTTTGGCTTTCGGCACATAATCTTTCACTTTGTTGTCAATAAGTTTAGGCCAATCGACAGTTGGTTTCCTTTTAAGTAGTTTAAAAAAATTTACAATTTAATAAAATAAATTTGAAATATAATAAAAATTAAAAAATCAAAAAAAATTTTACCCATATTTAGCGAAATCGGTCCACATTTTCATAACATCCCGACTAAACTGTTTGTCTATTTCTGTATCGGTTTTCTGTGGATAAAGAAATGGTAGACCGAAAACAAACTGCAATTCGTCGCCATGAGTGACACCAAACATGTCTGGACCCGGTTTTGATGGCGTCCTATGATATGTCAGTTCATAGAAATATACATTACTTTCGGCCGACTGTTGGCCATAATTGACGGCAAACTGATGTGTCGGACATGTTATCAATAGATCGCCGAAGAGGTCATACAATTGCCATTTGACTGCTTCGGGATCCGACTTATTGATGGACGACATGTAAAACGTGGTAATATTGTCGGCGTTTAGGTTATGAAACATTGAGTCAAATCCCTGCGCGTAATCGTGAAACTCCTTTTCGCTTATATTTTTGGGCACAACCGGAATGAGTGTCGACAATAGAGATGACCCCTCGTGTTTGGACACACCGGCCAACAGTTCCAGATCTATGTAATTAAATTTACATTAATATAAATACGTTAGTTATATAGTTGTGTATTGTATACAGTAAATAGAGCAAATAAATTACAGTAAATATAGACAAACCTTTGTTAAATTGTTTGGTTTGAAAGGCCTGGTGTGCGGACACCGGGAGGTATTCAGTGCCGAGTGTGGCGACAGTAAAACCCTCGCCGATGTGTTCATTGAGATCTTCTGCGTTTAATTGTCTCAAACATTCTAACCATTCAACCGATGTTTTACTGCAATTGAAATCTACGGCCAATTGTTTGGCTTCATTTAACGCTTCCGGCGCTGTTTTTATATCCCTATCCTTATTGAACATATGGGCGCCGCTCTCCATAATAGCCCTTTTGAATAGGCCTTTGGATAGCGGAGACAATAGCTGTACGGATACGGACCAACTGCCGGCGCTCTCACCAAATATAGTGATCTGATCCCTATCTCCACCAAACTTATGGATGTTTTCTCTAACCTATTATTATGTCATTAATTCATATATTATTTCATTAATGAATAGCAATAATTAAAACAAATAATAAATTAATACCCATTTAAGAGCCAACAACTGGTCATAAAAGCCGACATTTCCGGGCGCGTCCTCCCGATTTCCGTATAGGAAACCAAAGTTTGCTAACCTATAATTGATGGACACAACCACCACATTATTGGTGGCCAGAGCTGTGCCGTTGTATATCTCTTGGAAAGATGAGCCCAATATAAGAGCCCCTCCATGTATCCAAAACATGACTGGTTTTAGGGGTGCTTTTGGTGCCGACTTCTTGGTTACATGTGGTGTCCATACGTTTAATACCAAACAGTCTTCACTTAGTGTTAAATTGCCCACAAAAGGCTTCAAAAGGTCAGGAATTAGTTGATAACACGAGTTTCCAGTTTCTGTGCCGTCTATTATGTCCTTAAAAGTAATAATAATAAGTAGTGTTCAAATTATTATTCAGATTTTTATTATTATTTTGAAAGTTTTGATAAATACTTGAATGGGATGTCTGAGTGGCACCGGTTTGGCAAACCTGAGTACCCCTACCGGGGGTTCGGCATAAGGTATGGCCAAAAACTGGTCAACACTTGTGTTCAACACATCGATAGTCAGACCTTACACTACACCAGAGGTTGTGTTCACTTCAACACAAACCGTGTATTCAATGCTTATTAGCGGCAATAAAAATAAAATCGCGTTTTTAAAAAACATTTTATAAAATTATGAAAATAATTTAAAGATGTTATTATTAATTATAAACAAAATTATTGTTACTTTAATGATAACTACAATAATGTGTAACAAATAAAAATTAATTTATCCGTATTTATAGGTAATTGAGAAAATCAGCGCAAATAATAACACTTAAACTTTGTATTAGAAATTGATAAAAAGCACTTAAAATATAACCCACATTGTTATCAGAAACATTATTATCATTATTATTTTTTAGTGCATCGGGTTTGTTACTGATTTTGTGAATAATAATGTGGCAATGATCAAATTAATGTTTATAACGTAGCACAATTATTACACACATACAGAATATTATAATTTTTATTGTTAATTAATGTTGTTTTAACCTGTCATCGGTGGCCAAAGTGGTGTTAACTGGAGTGGGGGTAAGTGGCAATCCTGGTTATTTAATATGTACTTATTCTATTAAATAGGGTAATTATGTTCTAAATAACAATATATTACTATTGTATTGCGTGATACAGTTTTATAACCTTGATCAGACAATGATTTGCTGAACAAATAGGTAACTTATTATGTAATTTGTTTTTATGAATCAACTACATGTTTAGCAATTTGTGTTGCATAATAATTATTGCTGAAAATGTGATTTAATTTATATAAATATTAATTTAACTCTCATTTATTGCGGGATGTTTTGCCAAAAGTTATAAATGCTTTTGTAATTTATAACTAAAACATTGGTTAAAGTTTTAAAACAGGTATTCAATATACAATTAGTGCACATGTTGTTAAGGATATGACTTTTCAATCATTTTTAAATAATAAGGTTTAGATTTAGATTTTTATTTGCAAAGATTCGTATCATTTAAATGTATTAATTTGTGTTTTATTAATTAGTTTGAAAATGTGTTCAATATTAATAAGTGTTTTGTTGATTGTATTTTCACATTGTATTTGTTTAATTATTGTATACCTGTAATACCTGTATATGTAAAAATGTGATATTGTAGGTGCAATAAAATTGTTTAGTAAACAGGTTTTGACTATCAATGAGAGCACGTTTTGTAGAGGATATACATTTGCAACCATTTTGTGATGAATAAGCATTTGATTTACATTAGAGAAATATTTCGAATTTAGTTACAATTCATTTTAAATTAAGTTATTTTCAAAAATTATAGTTTAAAAATGCGTTCAAAATTAATGAGTGTTTCGTTGATTGAAATCACAAATAAATTTCGCTTTTAAATGAATATTTTTGTGACGATTTAAGTCTGATTGCGTTTTGAAAGTTTTATTACAATTATTAAAATCACATTTAAATTGTTTTATTTCTGAATGAATTAATTGATGTGTTTTCAATATATCCATCCTTAATGTCTTGAATTGACATTTAGGCCAAAAACAGTGCAAATAATCATCAGATTTAGTAATGATATGACAATTGTTTAGCATTTTATCACTGATTTTACATGAATTGCAATCAATTGTTTGATTGATTGAAAAATAATTATTATTTTCGCATTCAATCGCTTCACACAAAACACTATTATTTGTATTCAAAATACACTGAATTTTGTCTATTATTTCACACAAACTCTTCATTGCATTTAATTTACTCTTCATTTCAATCAACGAAACACTCATTACTTTTGAACACATTTTAAAATTTAGGAAAAATTAATTTAAATAAAATATAATTATAACAAATTAATTGCTACATAAATCGAAGACAATAAATGCAACAAAATAAGCATTTAGAGTAAATCATGTGTTGTGATGATTGAAATAATGTTCACGTGTTTTCAAAACCGCATTTTATGGCAATCAAAACCTGTTTTCAGATATCAATCATAGGATTTCATTATTTTTGCTTTCAAACGCTTTTTGCACAGAAATGGACAGAAATTCTGTGCCAAACATTATATGCAATTAATTTCGAGATAAAATTTATGTGCAATTGAGTAAAAAAAATTCAATTGTTATAACTTATATTTAATTGTAAAAATATAATTGTATAATTATATAAAATCATATAAATATAATCGCCTTTTATGGCAATAAACAAGGGTTATTAAACTTGATTACTTTTAACCAGTTACGTAATTTTACTTCCCATAGTTATCATATCCTATGCAGTAAATATTCTATAGACAATTAAATAAAGTAATTAACCTTGTTATACAATATAAACAGAAATATTATGCAATATTTGTTAAAATATAACCGGAATACAGTTTTATTAATTAATTGAGGAAGAGTAAAATTATATAATATTTATAAATATAATTATGTAGTTATACTGCAATGCAATTTATATTATTTGCAATTTGTAATCTATTTAACAATATTTATTTGATTTAATTAAAGTTTCAAATTAATTTTACATAATTATAAAATTATTTGATATATTATATTACAAATAAATTTTAAAATATTTTATTAAAATAAAATGTCTATAAAATATAATTTATTGATTATTGTATTTATATTTTTATTAAATGTAAATTTTAATTCATGTATTGATGTGAAGACAACATCGGGGGTAGTGAGGGGTCAGACATTACATGTGCTCAACAAAACTGTTAACCAGTTTTTGAATTTACCATACGCTGAGCCTCCGATCGGAGCCCTCAGATTTGCCAAACCCGTGCCATTAAAACAAACTATTAAGGTAAAAATAAATGTTATGTGTTATTTACAATTAAACATAAATATTAAAAAAAACTTTTATTTTTAATTTTTATTTAAGAACATTATTGATAGGATGAATGAATATTATGCGGGTTATACTTGCATACAATCGGGTCGTTTGGCTCCGTTTAAACCGCTCAGTGAAGACTGTTTGGTATTAAACATATGGACACCAAATGCGGGCAATAATAACACAAACAAAAATACGGCCAAACAATTGAATTGTAGTGAATCTGAAGATTGGTTAAAATGTTTGAAAGGTGTGGACGCACTCGAGTTTCCCAAAGTGAATGCCTCGACAATTACAGATGAAATGCTTTTACAAAAGTTCATCACATTTCCAGTGTTTGGCACAGAATTTCTGCCTATTTCTACACAAAAGGCATTTGAAAGCAAACAAATCAATTCAGGTTTTATTTTTATGAGATAGAGAGAGAGAGAGAAAGAGAGAGAAAAGAGAGAGAGAGAGAGAGAGAGAGAGAGAGAGAGAGAGAGTGAGAGAGAGAGAGAGAGTAAAAAATAATATTTAAAATTATAATTTTATATAGACATTGATTTAATGGTATGTCTGGCCAGTGATGTAGAAGAATCACAGGACTGGATATCATATCGAGGATCAGTTACTAATATATCCGTTGAAATATTTAAACAAATGGTTGCAAAGTCGGGTGAACTCGGCTATAAACAAATCAATATTCAAAATGTGACCAATTTTTACCTCAAAAACATCAACACTACCGACGAATCGGCACTTTTCTGGGCTTTCCATCGGTTCGCCAGTGATATGGCATTGAATTGTCCGACATATCTATTCGGACAACAATTTGCCCGAAATGTCGAAAATCATACCCGAAATGTGCAGTTCTATGAACTGATTTATGGACACAGATCTAACATCGAGGCGTTTGGTTACGATCCGGACACTATGCGAATCGAGCACAACATCGATATGCCCTATGTGTTTGGTATACCATTTAATCATGGTTGGGCATACAGTAATCATGATCGTGATTATAGTTTTAATCTAATGAGATTATGGACTGATTTCGCAAAATATGGGTATTTATATATAAATTTTGACACTTTGTATAATAAATATATTTTATGTTTAATATGTTTTGTGTCTGTGTTTTAGTAAAGCGGACAACAATTGGCCGAAGCTTTTGACAAACAATACATTTATTATCAAAGACTTGAATCCATTGAATACGAGCCGAGTATTGGATAATCCCTTTCATAGCACTTGCGATGGCTTTTGGAGGGATTATTATTTATAAGTAATTAATATTTTAAGTAAGCAAGACATGATTTATTATGAAATTATTTATTGAAATTGTTATTTGATAATATTGTGTTAATTTATTAAAATGTGTTCAAAATTGCAAATGAAATATTGTTAGATATGTTTGTGTTTGTACCGAATGTGTTGACGCAATTCACTCGATGAGACAAACCGTTGATTACAGTTATTATGAATACATTTATGGCTTTTTATATTCAAATGTCTTTTCATATGTAGTATTAAATCAGATTTTCGGCAAAAACATTTATTACAATCATTAAAATAACAAACAAATGGTTTTTCTCCCGAATGTATGCGTTTGTGTTTAATTAAATCTGCATTTGAAACAAATATTTTGTCACAATTTTTTTCATTACATTTAAATGACTTTTCATTCAAATGAACACAACGTTTGTGATGATTTAAATTTGATTTTGTTGAAAAAATTTTGTTGCATTCATTAAAATCACAAATTAATTTTATATTTAAATGAATGTTATTTTTGTGTTGAACTAAATTACAAAAAAGTTTAAAAACTTCATTACAATTATTAAAATCACATTTAAATTGTTTTATTTCTAAATGAATTAATTGATGTTGAGTTAAGCGTTGTTTGGTTGTTGTCTTGAATTGGCATTTAGGCCAATAACAGTGTAAATAATCATCAGATTTAGTAATGATATGACAATTGTTTAG